AAGCCAAAAAAAAACTTCAAATAATACATATAACAAATTTCATTTGTTCATATCATCTTTTTGGTATATCTCCCCCCTTTTTTTTGTCATAGAAAATAAAATCAAGAAAAAAATATTTGTATTTGACTCTCCTTCACCATTACCATGTTGATATCAACGTAATCGAAGCTAATCTATCAAGTGTATGAACCAAACCCCAAATTTTTAAACCAACAACAATTCTTGTCAAATTTGGCACCAAGGCCATTACATCTCTAGAAAACTGTCTCAATCACAACCACACTCTCCATTACCACTGTTAATTTAAAGCATTCATATGGTGCATTCAAACACACACGCCTGCATCTAATTGAAAGGGAGTTTAGGTGGTGGGATTGTTGGCTAATCTCTCACACACACAAAGGATTGAACACTCCAAGTTGGACCCACCCATCAATATAATTCAAACACACCATACACTTGTTGAGTTGTTGCAATCCAATTCACTCAATTTTCATAAAATTGATGTTTATCAAAAGGTTCACCAGTTGAATTTGGTGGACGTTCTTCACGCTTGGTGAAAGTTTGCTAGTAAAATTGTTTTATGTGTGGCAAGATTAAACAAAGAAGTTGGCTCGTGTTGGATAATGGTGTTAATTTCACGTTATTCCTTTCATGTCTATGTTTTGACGCGTTTATATATATGACGAGACTGATTTATATAAATAGAAGTATTATTTGGTTATTGATATCTAAAGTAGAAGGATTACAATGACATTTCAAATAATATAGTAGGCATCTTTATGATTACGACAGTATAAAGGGTTGTCGATGTAATTTTAATAGGTTCAGATCTATGGAAGCAATGGATTCTCAGCTACCCCTAGATAAATATGATCAATTGTAGAGATTATCTACCAAACAACGCCAGTGCACAACCCAATCGCAAAACGGTCGACACGTGTCCAAACCCACCTCACCTGGTCTTCTACGTTACCGACTGTCAAAGGCCGAGAGATATGATTCCCAACAACAAGAAAATCTCAAATCGGTCCAATTGGACAGATGTAACTCAATCAAACTCACATCGTCAATTCGAATTTTTGTCGAAATTACGCCAACACCCCTATTTTTTACCAAATTCCGAATAAACCTACCTTACCCTCTATATTGTTGACACGTGTAAGATTGGGGGCTGCGAGATCGCAGAGAATTCAGATTACCCGAATCCTCGTACAAGACTGAATTACATAAATAAAAACAAAAAGTAAGGAATTAATTAAAAATTAAATGATTAGTAATTAATTAATTTGGCGGACAACTTTTTCTGTTCCCTTCTACGTATAAAGCGGGTTTCTTACTACTCTCCGAGACCGAGGAGCGAGAAACCCAACTACCAGGCGCATCTTAGCAGTTGCCTCCACCCTCCTCCACCCGACCAGTTGTATAAATATCTACATAAGCTGTTTCCAGAGAGCTTCGTGAAGTTTCATTTACTGTAGAGAGAGGTTTGGGGACGTTTCGCTCTGATCGCCCCAAAAAAAAAAAAATACGCAAGGTAATTGAGTTGATTTCCTTGAATTTCATGGAATCAATCACTTTTCGTTATAAAATATTCAGTTATGTAGCGGCTTTTGTATTTCATAATAATATAAGCTTATGTGTTCGTGTGTTTGTGATTGATTGCATGTTTGTTATACCTCGGACTTCTGTTTTGTGAGATCTAATATCACTCATCTGTACAGTTGAGTTTTGCTGGTAGTTCTGAAATTTCGTTGAGCACTTTTTTTTTTCTCCCCCAAAATTTAAGTTATAAAATACATGAATACTGCATCTGTTTGTTTGCTTCCCAGAAAACGAAAATTGGAAAGGTCGCTTGAAGCTGGGTAAATGTTTCTATTGTAGTTGCCGGGGGTGCCGGTTTGAGTGTAACGGAGACTGCATGTTCTTGCTAGTAGTTGTGGACATGAGTGCGGTGAATAATCATACGAGAAAGAAAATCAAGTCCAATGAACAAGAAGATATATGTGGTTCGGGGGGAGTGGCTGTTTTCACTATTTTTCAAGAGGGTAACAATTTATTTATAGGCACTGGCTTTCAGCCTTCGCTCCATCCCGCCACAGTCATTGGACTTTTGGGTCTAGTGAATATGAACAATACACTATTTCCAATAAATAGTCAGGTGTTCTAAGGGTAAAAGGCCTGGATACCTTCATTGTTAGTAGGGGAAAAAAGAGAAAATGGTTGTATTTTAGCATCTCCCAACTGTTTGTTTTTTTCTTTCTTTACCAATTTTCACTTTTCGAGGGTTTGTTTCTCCACAGATGGTATATATAAAGGGAAATCTAGGATTCATGACTGCAATCTGCATTAGTTCTTTACATTTCTTAGCAACAGCCATAGAATTGAACTATGGTGAACATTGAAGTTTAATTTTATTGAAATTAGTGTTATATGCCTGTAAGGGTGCTAATGAGTTAGAATCGATATGGTTTGGCAGCGTCCTTTGTATATCGCTCCAAATAGGTGAGCTGGAGAGAAGGTGTCTGTTTAAGTTTTGGCATGCCAGGGCATCTACACAGTTCTTCTGTAATGTATAAGCGCATGTCTTCGAGGGACAATATGTATTTGGTTGATGTAGAGGACAATTCCGGTAACTCTATCCATTGTTCATTTTTCTAAAAATAATCATGTTTCATATGTTATCCGCTTGATTATCACTGCCCCAACTTTGGCATGGGTAGACTTAGAAAATTACAACTTCTACTAATGTGGGTCTCAATTGAACTGAACTCAACTCAACTCAACTCAACTCACCAAAACATTGTCCCAACGTTTTTGGGGTCGGCTATATGAATCTTGTTTTGCATTGAGCTCTATCAAGTGCAATGTTTTTAGTTAAACCATAAGTTATCATTTCTTTATTTACGATTTCATTTAAAGTTAATTTTGGTCTTCCTCTACCCCTATGTTTACCTTCAATAGCTATATATCACTCATTCTTACTAGTGTCATAGAAGGTCGTCTGTAAATATGTCAAAACCACCTTAGTCGATTCTCCCTTAACTAATCTCCTATTTGTGCTACCTCTATTTTTTCTCGGATATATTTGTTCCTAATTTTATCTTTCCTAGTCTTACCACACATCCATCTTAACATTCATTCTCATTTTTGTCACAAACAACTTTTGAACGTGTTGTTTCTTAGTTGTCCAACACTCAATACAGTAAAGTATAGCGGGTCTTATAGTCATTCTATAGAATTTTTCTCTTAACTTAAGGGGTATACGTTTGTCACACAATACACCGGATGCTTTCCTCCATTTAGTTCTTGCAACATTAATTCTATGCTTAAGATCGTTGTCAATCTCACTCTCTCTATGAATAATACCCTAAATATTTAAAGTATTTACTTTTTGATATCTCTTGATCTTTAATTTTCACTACTTCCTGATTTCGATTTCTTCTTTTACTAAAATTACATTCCATATACTCAGTTTTTTGATATCTCTTGATCTTTAATTTTTACTACTTCCTGCTTTCGATTTCTTCTTTATTAAAGTTATATTTCATATACTCAGTTTTAGTTTTACTTATCTTAAATCTTTTTAATTCTAGGGTTTCTCACCAAATTTTTAATTTATTATTAATTCCTTCTTTATTTTCATCGACTAGTACAATATCGTCTGCAAATAACATTCATCATGAGGGCTCATCCTAAATATATCTAGTTAGTTCATCTATAGTCAATGCCAAAAGATATGGACTTAAAGCAAAACTCTGATGTAAACCTATAGTAATTGGGAATTCCTTAGTCTCCCCCGCTGTTGTTCTCACTAAAGTCACTACATTTTCATATATATCCTTAATAACATCAACATACATAACAATAACATTTTTCTTTTCCAAGACCCTCCAAGATGTCTTTCTAGACACTCTATCTCAATCATATGCCTTCTCTATGTCTATAAAAACCATATGAAGATTCTTACTTTTCTCTCTATATCTCTCCATTAGTCTATATAACCTCCATTGTTAATCTCGCAGATATAAATCCAAATTAATTCTCAGAAACCATTGTTCGCACCTTTAATCTTTGTTCAATCACCCTCTCCTAAAGTTTCATTGTACGAGTCATTAATTTAATACCTCGATAATTTGTAAAACTTTATATGTCTCTCTTATTCTTATATATAGGTATTAGTATACTCCTCCGCTCATCGGTCATTTTCTTGGACATTAGAATTTTATTAAATAATTTAGTTAGCCATGATATCTAACATCTCCTAGGCACTACCACACATCAATAGGTATACCATCGACTCCTAACGTTTTTCCTATCTTCATTTTTTTAGTGCATCTTTTACCACCAACATTCTAATCCTACGAATAAATGTGTCCTCCTTAAACTCTCTACGATTTCTCCTATCCTTAATAACTAGGCTCTCTATAGGATTTTCTTTTAGTAACTTTTCAAAGGAATTCTTTCACCTTTCGTTAATTTTCTCATTTTGTACAAAGACCCTAGAGTCTTCACTCCTAATACATCTAATATGGTTAAATTCTCTAGTTTTTCTTTCTTCTAATTTAGCAAGCCTATATATGTTTTTCTCTCCATCCTTTGTATCTAGTTTAGCGTAAAGATCATCATATACCTTGTACTTTGCATCTCTTACCCTCTTTTTTACTTCTTTATTTGAAAGCTCGTAACTTTTAAAGTTTTCTTCATTTTTAGTTTTTGTTTCATGTCTTATAGCACTCTCTTTTTGCTTTTATCGCCATTTGGACATCATCATTCTACCCCCAAGTTTCTCTTTCTAATGGTTTATTGCCTCTTGATTCTCTAAGAACCTCGTTAGCTACCTTATTAATATGTCCTACCATTGTATTCCACATTATATTTGTTTCATCTTCTAAATCTCACGCTATTTCTTTTAGTGTTTTATTCTTAAACAAATCTATCTTTTCTCCTTTCAAATTTCACCATCTAGTTCTTGGATTTTTAATCTCTTTATGCTTTCTTATATTGTTTTTAATACGTATATGTAATACCAGTATCCTATGTTTTGTGGTTAAGCTCTCATCTGGGATGACTTTACATTCCTTACATGACCAGCGATCCCCTTGTTTAATTAGGAAAATTTTTTTCTAACTTTTATTTAATCCACTTTTAAAACTTATTAAGTGTTCATCCTTTTTTTTTAAAAAATATACGTATTTGTTATCATAAGATCATAAGCTATAGCAAAATCTAAGATAGAATCTCCAGCATAATTCCTATCCCCAAATTCATGTCCACCATGTACCCTATCATAACCAATCCGATCCTTTCCTATGTGCTAAATAAAGTCACCTCCTATGTATAACTCTTTCTCCTATAGGTATTGCTCTTATTACTTCATCCATATCCTCCCAAAATTGAGTTTTAATATGATTATCTAATCTTATTTGAGGTGCATGTTGAGTTTCATGGGGATAGTGGAGTTGAAGTAGGTTTGGAATTCAGAATTAATCTTAATGAAATATTCACTCTTTTGTGGAATGCTGGATGAAAATATTGTGCATTCGTTTGCTCTTTCTTTAGTCGTTGAAATATAAGCAGCAGTTGAAAAGATTAAATAAACGTAAATGAAGAAGAAAGCAGAGTACAAGCTGCTTAAGAGGGGAAAGTGTATAATTGTGAAAGTCACAATACTATGCCACTTTCTTATTTTTAATTTGGTTCAGTAAGTGGTCAACTCTATGGGCTGTTTTTATGACTGAACCCTTGCTGTGTGGAACAACACTTGGGCTGAATGGTTGTATATCTTTTAGCTCGTTTACAGGACGGTATGGAGCAAGAAGCTACAAATCCCTCTTGGAAGCTTTCTTTCCCACATGTACTTGTGGCAACCATAGTTGCATTCTTATTCGGCTACCATCTTGGGTTTGTTCCTGATCTTGAAATTGCAGTTGTTTGTGGGTTCTTTTATATTTTTATTTCTTTGTGCAGATCATTTTTAGTTTTTTATTGGGAGGAAAGGAATTGATTTGTTATATGTTGTACTTGCTATTTGGTGTATACAGAGTAGTTAATGAACCTCTTGAAAGCATTTCTTTTGACCTTGGTTTCAATGGGAATACCTTGGCAGAAGGTAACTTACAAACTGAATTTGCATTATTTTGTTGGACAAATCTATTTTCTTTTTTACTGCATATGAGTTCCACTTTAGTAGTTGTTTGTGAATGTGAAATGAAGGTCTTGTCGTGAGTACGTGTCTGGCTGGTGCCTTTGTTGGATCTCTATTCAGTGGCTGGATTGCTGATGGAATTGGGCGCCGCAAGGCTTTTCAGTTGTGTGCTTTGCCAATGATTATTGGTGCTTCTATCAGGTAACCACTTATACCATAAAGCCGATTCTTATAAATTTTTATGACTTCTATTTAAAAAATTTGTGTGTGTGCATGTTGGTTTTGATTTTATAAATGTTCCAATTTGAAGATACTCATACACATTTTTCAGTGCAATGAGCAAAACATTGGCAGGTATGCTTGTAGGGAGGTTCTTGGTTGGCATTGGATTGGGAGTTGGTCCTCCTGTTGCATCTCTGTATGTCACAGAGGTGAACTACTACAATTTTCCGCAACATTTTAGCAAGAAAGATATAGATTCGTAATGTAGGGTGTGCTTCTGTCTTATTTGGCTTTGCCTTGTAAATGTAAGCAGGTTTCTCCTCCTTCTGTGAGGGGTACTTATGGAAGCTTCATTCAGATTGCAACATGCCTAGGGCTGATGGGGGCTCTGTTCATTGGTATTCCAGTCAAGGATATTTCTGGCTGGTAGGGAAAATAATTTGATGCTATTAATATTATGTAACAGAAACTGGTTTTTTATGTTTTTCTGTTGTCTTGGAAAGACCTGGGATTCAAGTTCTCTTCACCTTTTTTTGACAACTTATGTGTGCAGGTGGCGTGTATGTTTCTGGGTATCAATAATTCCAGCCGCAGTTCTTGCTCTTGCCATGGTGTTCTGTGCAGAGAGTCCACATTGGCTATTCAAGGTTTGGATTCTCTTGTATATATGCTCTTTTCGTGAGAAGCTTGAATTTTTGTCTGTACACCATTAATATCTCTAATATACAAAAAGTGAATGCTTTGAGAAGGAAACTCAATTAACACGAGGTTGAGGAAGCAGATGCATTAGAGACCAAGCGAATTGTTGTTGGTTTTTATGATTGCCCAATCTGCTTGCAGATTGTTTTTTTCATTCATCTTTCACTAAATATCCTCAATTTTCCCCTTGGTCATAATTCTCTTAATTCATGCTGTCTCTCATATGTCTTTAACCTAGTTGATTTTGACTTTGCAAGTTTTTGTTGATTTGATTGCTTAATGCTTAGGCTGCTATGTGATGTATGGATGCGGAGAAGCTGGTAAAAGTACGGATATAAGAAACAAGAAAGAGATAATGAAACTAAATTGTTGATTTGCGCACAAATAACAGTTTGGATTCCTACTCTAGGCTGGTTGGTCACAAAAATATCATGTTTCAATAAATCTGTCGATTCTTAAAGAATACCAGATGAATTGGGAATAAAAAGACAACTCTCTCAATTGTATTAATCAATCCAAAACTATTTTGCCCTAAGACTTACTTGCGTTTATATAATAGCAAAAACCCAAAACTAACTAGAAAACTATAATCCTAATTAAATTAGAAAAACAAATAAAATAAAATTATAGTTAAACCATTAAATAAAATAAAATATTGTCATATTTAAATTAGGAAATAAAATCAAATCTTCTGGAATTCCCTAATTGAGCGGCATTGACCATGTTCAAATAAAATATCAAAATACTTGCCACTCGTTTTGCATCATTCTTCTCAAGTTGGAAAGAATTTGCTCTTGAATTCATTTTGAAATCTGAGTTTTCGCTTAAAGTTAGGCCTTTGACTGTTCCATTGAATCTGGGCTTGATACTGTGATATTTGTTTGAACTTGCACTTTTGACCACCCCAATATCCATAGTTATCAAACATTTTAAATCCACCAAAAAGAATTGTGACATCAAAGAAATCATAGCAACTAACCAACTTCTCCATGGGCTTGTTACGAAATGATATCACCTTCACCGTACTCATGTCACAACTCAATCTTTTTCTTTGGTATATAATTTCACCGATTTCATACTCACAGCTAGAAAACGATGTCAATTTCCTTGTCATAAATGTGAAAACTACATCTTCCACACGCTTATTTTTTGTTGTAGAGTTTGAAAAATATTCATGTTCAATGCATTCATTATATATTAAAATATCACAATTATTTTGAGTATTGCTAAGATGATTATCCACAGGATATTCGTCATATACTAGGGATTCAATATCATCTTTTACGAGAATTAGAAAAACATCATCCAAATCTTCATCGAATATTGGGGGTATATCCCAATCAATTTTTATAAATTACATCTTCCGAGTTCATGTCAAAATCTTGAATCTTCTTTGGGATCTCATCCACGTCCGCCCAATTCTCTTCCTCCTCCACTAATCGTGGATTTGGAGGAGGTTGTTGCGACTACTATTGTAGTTATTGTTGTTGCTAAACAATGGTAGTGAAGGTCGTTATCTGCTTGATTAACGCCCCAAACTGTTGTTGTATCCTTGCATCTCTCGGGTTGATCTTGGCTTCATAGAGTTTCTCCACAACTCGCCTTCTTGGTGGCACAACGGCATGGACATAGTTGGGCTCTGATACCAATTGCCGCACGTAAGCGGGTAGAAATAATGGTATAATAAACGAAAAGGGATAATGAAACTAAACCGTTGATTTACGCACATATACAAATTAGAATCTTGCCGGTTGATTCACAAGGAATACCAGTTTTAAAGGCTTCGATACATCTGTTGATTCCTGAGAATACTAGAAGAATTGGAAAGAAAAAAAAAATGATCTCAATTGTATTTAATAATCAAAAGTTGTTTTGCCGTAAGGCTTACAACTAGAGTTTATATAATAGCAGAAATCCTAAAACAAAGAAACTAGAATCCTAATTAAATTAAGAAACATGTTAAAATAAAATAAACCAAAAAATAATAATAATAATTTCCTAATTAAATTATAAAATAAACCGGCCTTCCTTGTAGCTTGGTGGTAAAATAAAATACCCTAAATTTTTCTAATTGAATGGCATTGACCACATTTAAATAAAGGATAAAAAATAAAACCCATCCATACTAAGCCTCGGATCTCACTTCACCCCCTCTACTTTTTACGGATTTTACTTAACTCCCTCCAATTTGTGAACAAACTGCAAATGTTAATAGAAGTAACAATTTATACAAAAAGACTAAACTACTTCTTGATTGTAATCTAATTTACAATCAAATTTTCTTTATGATGTCATCATTGTAGAACCCTTATTTTTCAAAAAACAAAACCTGCAATTAACACACTTCTATTAGCCTAGTTGCACCCCATCACCACAACCCACCTCCAACTCCATTACCACTACACCACTATAAACCACCTTCATATTGTGTGTGTTTGAATTTGTGTTTAAAACTTAAAGTGGCTATGGATTTTCAAACCCTTTCTTCTTCATTTGAGGCTTGGGTTGTGTTATGGGATTGTAGTACAGTATATTGGAGTACTTGGAAGCCATGACCGAGGTATGCATGTGCGGTGAAGAAATCCATTAAGGTTTGGAATCTTAAAAATTAAATCTTTGAAAAACTTGTGAAAGCTTCAAAAGGGGGTTTGGATTTAACTAATTTGGGGTCAAGGAGTTCAAAAATGACCTTAAATTTGAGAAAACAAGTCACTTGATGGGTCAAAAATGTATTTGCAAGTCTGGTCAACTATGTTAAAACATTTTTTGGGCCTACTTTGACCATAGATCAAAGACTTTGAGGTTGATTCGAAGGAGGAGGCTTATGGGGTTTAAAACTAGGATGTATAGGGAATTGAATGGTGTTGAAGTGAGGGGTTTCATATACTGTGAAGGAGGAAGGAGGAAAAGAAGAAAGAGGGTGGGGAGTTGCACCAGGGGCGGGTTAGGTGAGAGAGGAAGATGAAGGATAAAATTGGTAATTTAATTTTTTTAATTTAGGAAAAACAATTATTGATTTTATAACACGCACTTAATTAATGTGCGCAATTACCATGCCATAATTATAAATGGATTCTGTTAGATTTGTAGTTTGTTCACAAGTTGGAGGGGGTTAAGTGAAACCAGTAAAAGTAGAGAGGGTGAAGTGAGATCGAGGTTTATTATATTTTTTTTAAACCCTTAAATAAAATGCAAATTTTTTTTTCATTGATTTTGCATCATTCTCTCTGAGTTAGAAAAAATTCACCCTCGAATTCAGCTTCGTTTGAATTTAGGCTTTCGACAATCTCAAAATTCGTCCATAAGATTCCTGATGATCATAACTATCTTTTTCATCTCAATCTGATTGAACCACAACAGATCACTAGCTTCTTTCTTAACAAATATTTGACACCAAATCACTCATGAAACTTTTTGTTTGGAGAGGTAACCATCTAGTGGATACAAATAAAAGAGAGACAATGCTTTAAGACTCTACAAGGACAACACTCATTCCTCTAGGCTCTCAAATCCTTTCAAATTTTTGAAAGTGACCAAATAATAAACCTCAAGATATTTATCATATATTGGGGTAGCACAATTGGCTTTTCTGATAATTAGAGAACCATCATCCAAGTATTCACTGAATATCAGGGATAAATTTCAATAAACTTCTGCTGGAATAGAAGTTAATTCACTATCAAAAAAAAACTTTTTGAACTTCATGTCAGAACTAAAAATATTAATAGAAACATAACTGTGCTCTAATGGCAATGATGGGGGTAAAAACACGGATATAAGAAACAAAAAAGAGATACTGAAAGTAAATCGTTGATTTGTGCACAAATAATGGTTTAGATTCTTACTCTAGGCCTATTTGTTTCAAGAATAACAGTCCTAAAGGTTTTAATGAATCTATTGATTTCTAAAGAATATCCGAAGAATTGGAAATAAAATGAACAACTCTTTCACTTGTATTAATCAATCCAAAACTATTTTACCTTTAAGACTTAATGCGTTTACATAATAGCAGAAACCCTAAACTAACTAAGAAAACTGTAATCCTAATTAAATTAGGAAAACGAATAAAATAAAATCCTAGTTAAACCATTAAATAAAATAAAATATTGTGCTATTTAAATTACGAACTAAAAATCAAATCTTCTGGAATTCCCTAATTGAACGACATTGACCATATTCAAATATAATACCAAACTTCTTGCCACTCTTCTGTATCATATATATTCCAAAATTTCAGGGAAAATCCCGTTTTTGATCTTGTTACTTTGAGTAGTTATGCTCTCTCCCCACCCTCTCTTCCTCTCTCTCTCTTCCCTTTCACACACACATTCACAACTGGGAATATGTTCCATTGTTTCATATCAGTGTAAAATGATTCATATCTGTGTGTTACAAAAATTGCATATTTAATCTATCTTCCGTCAAGAAATGGCTTCTTTATTTTTCTTTCCACAAAATATTTCCAGTATCCTTCCAAGTGATATGGTCTGACATCAAGTTTCACAACAATTGTGTTAAATGCATCCACTATTGTTTTATTCTACTTTTATGTCAAAAGTAAATGCTTAAAGTATCTCATTGGCGTCATAGCAAGGAAGAAGTGCCGAAGCTGAAGCTGAATTTGAGAAGCTTTTAGGAGGATCTGATGTAAAATCTGCAATGGCAGAATTGTCGAAGTCAGAAAGAGGGGATGAGACTGATACTATAAAATTGTCAGACTTGCTTTACGGTCGTCATTTCAGAGGTGTGTTTTTTCTCTGGTATATTCCTCTGGGATTTGTGTATTTTGCTGTTTCTTTTATATTTACTGTTACACCATGCTGTCACCACCACTGCTGCTGTTAGTTGGTTCTCTTTCTTCTTCTTTTCTGCTCTCGGTCTCTCTTTCTGCTATCTACAAAATGCTTTGGATTCACTTGTTCCTTTTGCAGTTGTTTTTATTGGATCAACCCTATTTGCTTTACAACAGCTATCTGGAATAAATGCTGTGTTTTATTTCTCTTCAACTGTATTTAGAAGTGCTGGAGTATCATCAAACGTTGCAAACGTTTTCATAGGGATTTCGAATTTGTTAGGTATATCTTCATTTTGAGCTGCTTATATCCTTCCTCTCTCTATGAATTATTTATTTTGGCTTTTTGAGTTGTTGCTATGCGGTAGATTGCTAGTGTGTATCCGGTTCTGACACTGTTCTTTGACTGCAATCTGTAATTGTTTTCAGGGTCTATTATTGCACTGGTTTTGATGGATAAACTAGGGAGGAAGGTACTGCTTCTGTGGAGCTTCTTTGGCATGGTAAAGTGTCTCACTTCATTCTCCTAGAAAGATGAATTATGCACCTTTATAATCGTAGTTATGGTTTTCTGGATGGGTATCATGCACCTTGGAAAGGACTTATAATTACGGCCACGAATAGCACAAATGCCTCATTCGACTATCTGTTGGAGTACGAACTTTGTAAGTCATTTGACCCCAGAATCTTGTGCTCTTTCTTTGTGCATTTTGATCTACTCAGGCATTATCAATGGCTGTTCAAGTAGCTGCAGCAAGTCTGTTTACATCAAGTTCTGGAGCTTTTTACCTCTCTGTTGGCAGCATGCTGCTGTGAGTACTCCTTTGAGTTCTTAAAGATAATTTTATGGGATGGATAGCAAGTTCATTTAAGTATCCTAACAAAAAGTCCGTGCCTATAAGATTGTGACAATCATCATCTATTATTCGAACAACTTTGATCACAATGTGAGTAGAGGGTTTAAGTTTTCCAGAACTGTAAAAAAGGTCTCAAAATCAAAACCATGGAATTTCTTTATAAATTGCCCTTGGACATGAAAGTAGGACTTTAATTATCATAGGAGAAAAAACTTGAGATATTGTGAAATACAATCACTGGAAGAGTTGCATTTAAGTACCCAGTCCTGATTACTCATGGTGACGTGGGCTGATGAATTTCATTTTGATGGTGGCTGAAGAGTGAAGGTGCATGTAGCACTGTTTAGAATGACATATTGAACTCCTTTGTGCAGGTTCGTTTTTACTTTTGCTGTGGGAGCTGGTCCAGTTCCTGGTCTCCTCCTACCAGAAATTTTCCCCAATCGAATTAGGGCAAAAGCTATGGCATTTTGTATGTCAGTGCACTGGGTAATACATTTTCATTTGGTTTCTTTACTCATTTAAATATTTTTTTTCCCTATTGCCAGGTGTGAGACTTGAAGTTTGTACATGGTTCAAGGCTTCACATGGGCCTTATTATTCATTTAGTGGAATTGAATGAGAACTGAAAGGAGTCATTTTCTCATGCTTTCTTTGATTGACTGGGATTCTTTTCCAGGTGTTTAATTTCTTGGTGGGCTTGCTGTTCTTGCGGCTGCTTGAGCAAATTGGTCCCCCGCTATTGTATTCAATCTTTGGTACCGTCTGCTTGATGGCCGTCGCTTTCGTGAAGAGGAATGTGATGGAAACCAAAGGAAAATCACTCCAAGAAATTGAGATAGCCCTTCTTCCTCAAGAATATAGGTACTGTGCCTAAATTATTATTGGTGGCATTATTCTTATTCATCATTACTAGGTCAAGTTTTGGTTGACATTGCTCATATATTGCAGCTAAATATGGTAATCGACGAATGCAAGGGGTTATGTTTTCTGAAGACTGGACAATAATCAGCAGGGGGGCTGCTGTATCAGAAAAAGAATGCTGGGTTTCCGAGGTATAATAGTAGGTAGATGTAGTGGTGGCCTGGTGGTGCTTAAATCAGTTTTTAGTTAGTAAAGTTGTATTGGTGTTTATTTGCCAAAGCCTATGTATTCTATTAGTTTCAGTATGTTGTAGGCAAAGTTATTTCCCTGCAGAGTTGTTGCATCTCCTTACCAAAGCAGTTTCATACCAGGAAACCAATAATATCATAATAACTCAGGAAATTCTTCGTACTTCCCAAAGGAAAAAGAATGAGGACAAGCTAGGGAAACAATATAAAGTTTGACAAAAAAAACGCCTACGATAAGCTAAGCTGGAAAGTCTGAGAACAAAAATATTAAGACTTAGAATTCTCCTCAGCTTGGATCAAACTCATAATCCATAAAATCAGAGATCCACTTGCATCTCTGTAAAACAAATCCAAGAGGCATGCCTAATGAGTAACAGCTTGAAGAAGCCATTACAATCAACCTTCCGGATACCATCTAGTAAAGACTGAGCTCAATTGAGTAACAGGCAGAATGCCAGAAACAGAACAGAGGCGTTACAAAATTTCTCCGTTTCTTTCATGCTCTATCACACCCTGCGTAGGGGAACGTTCTCCTGGCAGTGGCACTATGTTGTTATACTGACACCATCCCATGTTAGCCACTCTGTTCAGAAGTTCTGAACGTGTCCCTTGACTTCCAGTTCTTCTGTAACAGCCACCTACTACTGTCAAAATCTTTGAATTTTTTTCAAGTCCACTTTGTAAACCTCCATGGGCAAAGCATATGTTCATAGATTCTACATCTTTGCGGTAGATGATACACATGGGAGAGGCTCCAACTTTTCTTCGTCAATAGAGAAGGTTTATGCCCTCCACCAAAAATGGAGGCACATTCATTATGTCTAGGTTCTCCACAGAGATTGGGTAGCTGAAGCATACACTGATTTCTTGTCTTGATAAAGCAGACACATTATAAGCCATGCCCCAGAAGCTAGAGTAACAGGAATGCTTGAGATCATTGTGACTTCTTGATCAGTCAAGGTAGATCACAAATCATGTTTGTGCCAAGTTCTCAATCTGTTGCTGATCACACCTTCACCCTACAAATACCAGAACTATGCAGCAAATCATGCGTTGAACACAGATGGGACAATTCATTTTCAATGGAATATTTGGACTTGCCATAAACTATTTGCAAAACAAAATGATCAAGTGTCTTCCTCTTCGTTCAATATCATATATAAGGAGCCTCTTGCTTCAAGTAATCGATATACAGGTTTGTTGAGAGATTTATACGGATAAATGGTCTTACAAAGAATACAGCAGTTTTTCACATACAACATATGGAATAATAGAATGGCATGGTCAAGTCCCAAGACCACAGGCAGCAGCTTCCAGTGGTACCTGTATTTAAGGATAATTAATGTCCTTCAATGCAGAGCATATAATTATAACAAAATTGTATGAAAGAAACGTACAACCAGAAAAGGTATTGAGTTGTGCCGCCGCATCAGATTGGCAACCCCGTAGAACACGAATCTCGGCCCGTCCATGAGCAGCAACACATAAAGAAGGGTTTAGAGGCCCTGACAAGAGACATCATCTGATGCTTAAGTCAATATCTCGATCAAATATAGGCATTCACATATTTATGAAGCAATGCAAATCAGAAGTGTAATGACCGAGTGGCTGTGTCATGCTATCAGATTTACTCACGAGGCATTGCCTTACAATTAATGTGGTGGATCCCACTATCTTGTACATGGCATATTCTACAAGACCATGTATGTGGGTGGCCCCATCTTTCATAAAAATTTGCTCATCCAACTGCCACCACAACTTTCATTTCCTTTGTACGAGGTTGCACCACTTAGAAGGAGGTGAGAGCTGATCCAGATTCCCCCTCATTACCAGAGGTAAAGTCACTCAATGAAATTTGCCATAATACAAGACAGTGCCACTCCCACCACATTAATTGTAAGGCAATACCTCATGCAAATTCACAGCACGACACACTTGGCCTTCCATCAAAAGAAAGACAATTCAATTGTGGCCCTCAAACTGATTAAAGTCATAAAACGAGATCGGCCATCAATTGAGAATGCTGATTCTCAATTGAATGCCACTTATTTCACCAATCAGGCCAGATTACCTCACCACCCAAAAAGAGGTGAAATACCAGATGTAAAGAAACCAAGGTACGAGCTCCTAGCGCTCACCCACTCTGTCATCATTTGTACGATATGCCTGTGTCTGAATGAAATCCTGGCTTAAGAATAGGAGGGTCTTCCTCGGTCAATGCTGGGGATCTCTAATCCCTTCTGTTTTGCAGCTCACGAACAGACAGATATTCATGCTCTACCAGGTGACTAATCCACCACGGGGCACAACTCAACACCTTATCTAGTTGTACAATTTTTTAACATACAAAGTTCACAGTACCTTCATGCTTGTCGACCTCTCAAGTAAACCGCATCGAAAAACCAGAATCAGTGGTTGTAACATTAATGGAGCCAAACTCCTCAAAATCAGAATCTGAATCCATGTGCCTGAAATCACCCCACTCATCAGGGGAACTCTCATCTTGAGCACTACGTGTAGAAGGAACTCTCAGCTCAGATATGGGAACTGGTAGAGGCTCTTCACTTAAGTACTTGTCATGGAGCAGTTCCATTGCAGTAGCTCTACTCACGGGGTGAAAACAAAGTAGTTTCTTGACTAGATATATTTCGTCTGGGGAGCGGTTTGGCATACAGGCTTCTAATCCAATTGGACTTTCTACCTTTCCAAATGAGATTATTTTGTAATCAGGAAGTTCTGAACAATCAGGCCAAACTTCCTCTGATAAGTTGCCCAAAATACTGAAAATTTTGCCAAGCTGATCAATATCGGAAGTTCCAGGAAAAAGTGGCTCTAACCTGAAAAGTTCAGCAAAAATGCAGCCCAACGACCACAAGTCAATCTCTACCCCATAATTTGTGGATCCATAAAGTAGTTCTGGGGCCCTGAACCAACGGGTTCCAACACAGGATGTGAGGGGACCATATCCATCTTTCTCACCCTCCTCAGCCTCGTAAGAATAGGAGCTCTTAAAAGGATCTTCTATGTCGCTCGCTGTGCATGTAGCAAGACAAGATACATCTCCATCAGGAATGTCACTTTCTTTATCAATTTCATCCAAGACATCTTTAGCCCTGAGCTTATCTAAATTACTATCATGTTCTTCTCTACCCAGATTTTCTTGCTCTTGATTTGCATGAACACCCTGGGCAGCATTATGTGCTTTAGGTATACCTTCAGGTGGTTCACATACAGTTGTCTGATTTGGGGTGCTTCTGTATTGCGGTTGTAGGTCATCATCAACAGCAACAAACCCAGGCTCCAGAAGTATCCTTGCCTGTGGAAAAATTTGCAGATATATTCACACCTATGTAAACAATTTTCTTCAAAGTGAACTTCTCAGAGTTAGCATTAGACAAAATTGATGTAAAAACCGGAAGTAACTGACAAAATTGTTCAGACAGCTCAAATAGAATGCCTAGTTGAAAGAAAGCGTTTGTATATTTTGCCTAGGCACAACAGAACTCTTGTGGCCAACCAAACTTGGGAGATGAGATTTTTTCTGGATCATAGAAACCATAAAAACTCCCTGTCTTGTTTTCATATTCACCGAAAGCAAATCCTATGTGCACCTTAATTGCCATAAATACTACAGTTTGTGAGTAACAGAGGCATCTACAAATACACCAAGTGCTGAGTCTAGGTAGCAAAAAGAGGGGTTAAATAGGACAGATCTCTTAGTAATATATCTATGGCTGGTCGGATTTATTGACTCCAATGCTATGTGGTTTGCATATGCACGTACCCAAATAATTTTATTTATATGCTAAGAGGTGTATAAGCCACTTAGCAGGTGATTAAGGACCAAGTAGTTTGGGAGCTGATACCACACTTGGTCCTAAGTGCCTCATGATCAACTTTGTCATCACACACCAGCATGTGAAACAAATTAACATAGCAAATTCCATATCAGTCTTGTCCAGGGCCACTACTAGACAAACATAACATGCCTGATGAGAATACCTAGTTTACAATCTTCTCAAGCAACTGTGAGCACTACAAGGAGAATAATGAATATTTTAACATCAACGGTTCTTGATATGAATTTACTGACAGTCCTGTGATCATAGTAAAGAAACAGTGTGGAAGCATTCACTTACAAGAGTAGTTTTGCCTATAGTTGTGTGGATTGTAGATACCCCATGGGTTTCACAAATTGGGCATCGCACATCCCGAAACATGGTGGGTTGAGACCCCAAATTGTAACTTAAACCCTAAACCAACCCATGATTCAACTAATCCCAAAATGTAACTTTAAATGGTTATTTCTTTATTTTGGTGATCTTCAAAGTTATATTTTGATAGTTTGTGATTTAAATTTTCCTCGTAATATAAATATGCATCCACCGGCTTCAATTATTTACAATCATTAGCCAATATATTGTCTTGAATTATGATATGATTTGTAACTCTTATCAAAATAAGAAAACAAACAACAATTAGTTAACTATGTATATAATTTCATATTATAGAGAAAGTAGTCTGAATGAGAGTCACAACGCAAACCACGACCTAGAATAATGTACCAATTAAATCTACCGCGATTGTACTGCATATTGGAAAAACACCAGGCCATGAACTCAGACGCATACCTAGTACCCTTAGACATATAATTTGTGTAAACAATCGACTCTCTGGCACTCCATGCATGAATTCGCGTTTTAGGACAGAATTGTCTATGAATTCTCGTACTTATTTTACAAACTTTGTGAATTCAGTTTTTCAAATTTTCAATCCATTAATTCGACTAATTCACGTTCTTACTTACTTATATGCTTACTTATTATTATTCAAAATTTTATTTATAAAGTTCTGACGCTTGCCTAGAGATACATATAAATTGGAATAATATTTGTAAACTATAATTGTCATTTTAGGACCTTATAATTAATATATAGTTAAAAAATTAAATAGTTTGTCATGTAGTTTTGTAATGAATTTAATTTTTATGGGTAAATGTGTGTCTGTATGCATATAATAAGATGCTCTCTAGGTGCTCACGCTCTAAATTTTTTAAAATTTTGTCGCTTTGGCCCTCTCGCTCTATGTGTTCTAACTCGTATCAAATCAATCCACGAACTAAAAAGCACTGATTTTGGCACATCTACTCACTTTGATCCACACTTAAGGTTCGTTTAGTTGGGAAGAAAAAAATGACGAAAAGTGAAAATGATAGTAAGTGAAGTGAAAGAAAAGAAAATGATAGAAAATATATTTTCATGAATGCATTTGGTTAGAATGAAAAATTTACCGGAAAGTTTTAAAACAATTTCATTCTATTGTTTGAAAGAAAGTAAAGTTATAAGAATTTTTTTATAATTGTCTAAATTACCCTTAATTATATTAAATCGATTTTAAAAAGAAAAAAATATATGTAATTACAATTGAAAGTTAAAATTTTTTTAAAAAGTGGCTTGAAACCTAATTTTAAGACAATCACCAACACAAAGGTCTATGGGCCAAATTATGTGATTAATTAAATTCATACTAAAATTTTTTAAAATTAATAATCAATAAAATATTTTAAGAAAAATAAGGGTAAAATGAGAAGTTAGTTATATATCACAAATTTCTTACATTTCCTTGTGTTTTTACAAGAAATAAAAGTTGATTATTTATGAGAAAATTCAAAGATGAAAAAAAATTATTTTTTCTATCATTTTCTTTTTCATGATCACCAAACACATGAAAATTTTAAAAAGTTTCTCTTTCTTGCATTTTCTAACATTCTCCCGCTAAACAAACGAACCATTAATGATTAAAAATTTCTAGTTGACCATGATCTCAGAAGCAAGATACCTTCAAGAGACAACGAACAAGACTGGATTGACTACAGAAACAAAAATAAATTTTCGGAACCATATGCTTCACTTGGAACTAGATTTATATTATTATTATTGCTGTCATTGTTATACTAACTCCAATTGAGTCACATTTTATAACAAACTACCTAAGCCATTATCAAAACTTTAAAAAAAAAAAACAGATAGATTCTTTTTTTTTTCCAATCAAAGAAAACCCAACTTTCAACAAATTAGCACATTGTAAGAAGAACCATCACCCTATCTCTTGAATTCAAAATTCCATGAATACCAAGAGTTTCATACCAATCTGTTCACCTAATCTTCATTCTCCCAACATCAAACCATTTTCCCAATAAGAAAACCTGTCTTTAGTTCTCTATCTCACATACACACCATACAGATCATATAAATCAAAAGACTGTCCTCTAATATGAAGCTTCATATAAATAAATACAAACAAACCCAATTCCAAATCATCCTACAAAAATACCATTTAATATTCAGAAGCTATTCCAATTCACACACTAGGACACATACTTACCCACATAACAATACAGCTTAAAGACTGCTCCTTTAATTAGGAAAAAAAACTTACTAGCCCAATTTCATCACAAACACGCATAATCACGAACATAATTTTCAATCAAAAGACCATTTTTTTTACTACATTATCTCCAGCTAAAACCATTCAACAAACCCAACTGTAAAACTTCACAAAACAAGCATACCCATTAACCTATAATCACGCAATGAATATACCTGTCCAAAATCGGCCAATTTGAGTACACCATCGGCCGAAATCAACAAATTGGAGGGCTTCAAATCCCGATGCACAATCGAATTCCGGTGACAAGCGTCAACCCCACAAAGAATCTGAACAATCCACCTCTTAATCTCGCCCACACTAAGCCCATCCATCCACTCTTTCTTGGACTCTCTGATCACAGAGCCCAAATCGGATGGCAAATATTCAAGCACAAGCACAGCGTCCTCGTCTTCAGCCCAGAAGTACTCGAGCAAAACGACGACGTTGGGTGAGTGTTGGAGGGTTTGGAGGGCCTCGATCTCTCGAAACGCCGATTGACAATCGTGGACCTCCTTAAGGGCGACTATGAGAGAGTCGGAGAGACGCCGGGCTTTGTAGACGTCGGAGTACGCTCCGGAGCCTACCCGACCCAGAATCTCGTATTTGGAGGTGATTTCCGGTCGGGTGTGGATGCTCCAGCTTTTGGATTTGGGGGGTGGTGGTGGGTCCATAGGGTCAGCTGGTTGTTCAGGTCTGGGAATGTTAGGGTTTGTTATACTTTGTTTTGCTGGTTCCAGTGAGGAAGACGATGAGATAAGTCACGTGAGTTTGAGGAAAGCGCACGTGATATTTTCTGTGAAATGACAGATATACCACTAGCTAAAACTGCCCTCAAAATGGGATATTCAGACTTGTTTAGCATGCGCCTCAAAAATTAGTATTCGAAAATAATTTTTGAGAATAGTTTTAAGAAAATATTTTTTGATATTTTTATATTATAAAATCTGATTGATTATGTAGTTTTGAAAATAATTTTAAAAAATAAAAAATAATAAAATTTGTTTGAACAATGATTTACAAAATCAAATTTTAACTTATTTGACAACAAAAATAATATTATTATTTTTGAACCTTCTTTCTTCTGTCGCTCCACGTCTAGAGCCTTATCTCTTTCTTTCTCTCTCTCCATTATCTTCTCACATACCAAAAATATACACAACAAATACACACCCGCACATACAACAAACACACACCCGCACATAACCATCGCACACACTTATATACATCACATAATACCTATATATACACACACACACACATAAATTTGTATATATATATATATATATATATATATATATATATATATTTGAACATAGATCTGTACATATACAAATATACTGCAAAGAGAGAAAGAGAGGAAATGAGTTGCGTGAGATAGAGAGAAGGCTATTGGTGTTCATCGTCAACCTTTGGCGTTTGTCAATGCTTATACATTGTCGTCGACCTTCGGAAGAGAAGGAGAAGGTGATTCGACGGTGGGATCTCATTAATAAGAACTTGTTTCCCGTGTTTTCATTGTTCTTGAAAATTTGTTTCCAAATTTAGCCAAAACATCCCCAAACGTGTTCTCTAAAAATTTATCTTAATTCCCACTTTTTTTTTCTTGAAAATTAGAGATTGAAAAAATCTAACCAACATATGTTTTTTCATATTTTTAGAGTTTTGAGAACAAAAAACTGTTTTGTAAACACAAACCAAACAGACCCTTAGTTTTTAGGGCTAATTATTTTTTACTCCATGTGGTTTGGGTTAAAAGCACTTTATCTAGTTGACGTTTTAAAATTATTCACATTATCCCCTACTAAAAGGAAGTAATTGACGCTATCAATGGAGTTAAAAAATTATTATAATATCCATGTTTTAAAATCAAACTTTTCGTCTGACTTACTCTTGACAATAAAACTAATAGAATATAACAACAAACTAACATATTTCAATCAAACATGTTGAGTCTCTTTTTCTTTCATGTGAGATTTTGCTCCGGGACTAATAATCACTTATATTTTTTTTACATGTTTTTTAATCTGGGACCGATGTGTGACTTATTTGGGTATTATACCGTATATTATAAAAGATATTTTAGGCATTTTTGACAATGTTCTTTGGAGAGAAACAATAAAAACAAAACCCACAATATGTTTTGGACATGTGAAACACACTCTTTGTTACCTTAGATAATTAAAGTAACCATTTCACTTTGGTACATAATTATAAGGGGGTAATGTGCATAATTTTAATCGTCAAGTAAGTAAAGTGTTTCTAGCCAAAACCACAAAGAGATAAAAAACAATTAACCCTAATTTTTATCAGCATAATGTGGACACATCATGACTTGGTGGTATGATTATCCATTGGAGTGGAGGTCGTGAATTTGAGTCATCAAATTTATTTTTCAAATATACATGCCAATGAATGATGTCTCGGGTACAAAACCACAAAGAGATAAAAAACAATTAATCCTAATTTTTATCAGCATAATGTGAACACATCATGACTTGGTGGTATGATTATCTGTGCGGGGATAAATCCACGCTGAAAGTAACCACCTCGTACAGATGGAGAAGGTGGCAGAGAAGCTTTGGTGAACCTGCAAGACAAGAGACTGTCTAGGTGAACCGATGACCAGAGGCAGTCAAAGGGACTTTGATGCTTAAGTCAGTAAGCTAGTTGAAGAAAAAGTGTATGATGAATAGGCTTGAATCAAATTCCATACATGGTATCCATAACCTTTATTTATAGCGACATAGGAAGCCGTGTTCCAAGTAGAATCAAACTCTATGTTATGATAGGATAGACCTCATCACCAATCTCCTATATGTTCGAGGTAGAATCCTACTAGGATGTTGAGTCCTGGCTTGTAAGAAAGGATATGCTCGTTGGGAGGCTTTGTTTATCAATATTCACTTGATACTCGGAGTTAAGTGACGTCGGAGGTGGGGCAACTAGTTGGGTGGCGCCTTGGGGCACTATTGACAACGCATGGAAGTTGGCAAGGTACCTAGGGCGATGCCAGAGGTTGGGCAGGTGCCTTGGGCAACGTCACAGGAGGTTGGGCAACGCCTTGGGCGACACCTAGGCAGGCGCCTTGGGTTTTGTGGTGATGGGCGATACAGGAGGCTTCTTGGGTGTTTTCTATGGTGGGCGGCGCCTTAAGGCTACTTGGAGGCTGCTTGGTGGGTGACGCCTCATTGGTCATTTAGTGGGCATGATGTTGTGTGGTCAAGGCTGGAGTGCTTGCGATCTAGTGTACTGTGTGATCAAGGTTGGAGTGCTTGTGGTCTAGTGTGCTATGTGATGGTCCCATTAACACCAGCCTCTTTCTTTAATATAGTCAAATAAAGAGAGAACTTGCCTTGGGCTTATTTATGGGCGGTGCTCGTACTGCTGCTTTAGTGAAGGTGAGTAACTGGCCATGGGTGTGAGTGTTATTGTGTTATGTAGGTGGCGCCCCATTACTACTTTAGTGGAGGTTTGTCCCACAATTTCCCCCATTCCTCATTTAATGGAGTAAATTAAATAAGGCATAAATTAGGATTTTTTAGAGTTATTAAATATTATTATTAGTATTATTTTATCTTAAGTCTTTGAATTGCATTACAACCATGGAGGTTGGTGTAAGGGATGCAATTGTAGAGGTTGGTTTTAGGAGGTGTAACTGTGGAGGTCGGTGTAAAGAGTACAACCGTAAAAGTTGTTTTTAAGAGGTGCAACCATGGAGGTTGGCCTTAGGAGGTACAACCGTGGAGGTTGGCTTTAAGAGGTGCAACCGTGGAGGTTGACTTTAAGAGTGCAACTGTAGAGGTTGACTTTAAGAGGTGCAACTGTAGAGGTTGGCTTTAAGAGGGCTCAGAGTTGTAAAGAACAAAATTCTCTTTATTGATGATTTAGAACGAATGTCATTGTAGATTTATTGTAATCATAAGGTATTATAACATAGAAGTAAAACTTTCTAAGATTGATGATAGTCCAAGGTCGTCGAACTAATTTGCCATCAAGCTCCTCCAATCTATAGACTTTTGTCCCTGCTCTTACTACGACCCTATAAGGTCCTTCCCAGTTAGGACCCAGCTTGTCATCCGTAGGGTCCTTAATTTGAGCGAGAACCTTTTGAAGAACCAAGTCACCAGGTGTAAAACTCCTTTCTTTGACCTTCTTGTTGTAGGATCTAGCCAATTCTTGTTGATATGTTGTCAGTCGAACCATTGCTTGGTCCCTTCTTTCTTCAATAAGATCCAAGTTATGCTCAAGGGTTTGATCATTGTCACGTGCTCATAAACCTCAGTTCTTAAAGGGGTAAAATAGTAATTAATTGTTAAAGTAGGGTCAAAATGTAAATTTTTATAAAATTCAAATGACGAAATAGACTTCATCGTTAAATTCGTCTCGCAAAATCTAGCTACCCAGTAAATTTAAAATTATGAGAGAGTTGAATTTTTTACGTATTACAAAGCGATCGAATATTCCCGTGACTAAAATAATTGCGATTAAATTTTATTCGCGAGACTCGAAAAATAATTTAAAATTAATTCAATAAAAATAAACTAAACTTAACACGAGACAATATTTAATTGATTCAGAATAAAATTGGACCTGTTAAAAAAAAATGTGTGACACGATGTGGGCCACACATTTAAAATATATATAAAGTGGAAGACATTTTGTCTGCTCTAGTGTGCTGCCGAGAGAGTGAGAGAGTGAAAGGTGAGTTTTTTTTTTCCTCCTTCCTTCTTTTTCATATTTATGAAAATTCAACCGTTTAATCGCTTTGGGTTAAGAATTAAAATTGCTCTACTTAATAAGAGCTACGCAATCATACCAAATATCGTATTTTTCTCCAAAATAAATCAAAGACGAGAATCTAGGCTTAAAGCTTGAGAAGCTAAATTCGAGTTTTTCTTTAAGTTCTAGTACGTAGGCTCACACTATGAGAAGTAGGATTTCCCCTATTTAGATGTAATTTCAACCTAAAATATGACATATGAAATAGGTAGATTAAAGATATATATCACTTGTTAGGTCTTGACTAGTGTAATTAGTGGGTCAAATATAGAATTTATAATTAACCTTAATAAAATTCTATTGTAATTAACTTGGTGTGAGTTAATGTTAGTGGTTTAAAGTATGTTAATTGTATATTAGCATGACTTGATATGTTAATGACATATCAAGTTTAATAAAATTATTGGCTTGTTATGTGATTATGAAATAATATGTATGTTAAATGACTATTTAACATATGATTATTATAGTGGACTTGTACTTATATTTATAGAATTAATAAACATTTTGTCATGTTGGAAGTAAAAAATATGCTAGTTGTGTAAATTGATGTGCCCTCTCAGTGTTTGTTTAAATGCCTAAGTGAACACAAATATGTTAGTTAAGTTGATTATCTTACATAACACATTTGAGATTATGTTAAAAATGTTATTATATTGTATTCATTATGTTATAGACATTGTAAATGGCACCAAAGACAATTGCACATTATATTACATTTGGATGGGAGTGTGTGCATGATATGAAATCAATCACCACATCCGTGGTTGATCGTAGACTTGAAAAAATCACACCAAAGTCCGACTGAGTCACATGAGAAATTAAATAAATAAATATGTCAGAATATAGCAAGAAGGGATAAATTCTTCTTCAGGTGCAAAACCCGCTTACTTGGTTTATACATTTTTCGGCGATGCAATTTTAGAAAAGTGTAACAACGAAAACGGAGCCGCAAGTGGAATGTGCCGAGAATAATGCTGCATTTGGATATTTTTATGCAGTTCGTTATGTACTTTTTAGCAGAAAAACCACAAAAAGCAAGCATATAACTTTGGCCATCAGCAGCAAAAAAAGTAAAAGCAAAAGTTGCATTTTTTGATAAATGAAAAGCAGATTGAATATCAAAGGTGTATCAGAGGAAAATCAAAATCCGATATAAGGAACTAAAAGCAAAGGATAAATATAGTAAGCAAGTTTCACAACCCCCACAAAAAATGGAAAACATAATTCACTGCACTTGAGAGAATGAACAGTTCCCTCTGCTCAGTTTGTAGGCATTAAAAACTATTTCCGTAGATATTCAAACTAGGCCACAACAGCTACACTTCACCAATACACACACATATATAGTTCAAAAGGTGAACTGGCCCCTCTTAGGCACCAAAGGCACTTGCAGAAGAATAATTCAATGTGACAAACTGGATGATTCCACTGGGGGCATTTTATGTTCCTAAGCCACACAACCTCCACAGACAATACCCCTGATATTAAAGAGAAAGACAAATGTTATTTAGGAGACAATAATGACATATATCAACACACTACAGACTTTAGAAAGAAAACCCTTTAAGAAAAAATTTAATATCATACGGTTTGCTAGACACAATGTGTGACAAGAACAATCTGGCATGATCGTCTCTTCAGTGTGAAATCATTGTTATAATTATAATCTCCAAAAACTACACATCTACCATCATTGGTTTGATGAAAGTAGAAAAAACCAGAAATATTATTTTACCTCAACTTCTAATATCCCTTTGGAACAAAATCTTACTTCCTTTTCCAAAATTACTTTAAGGCTGTTAAGGTTATCTCCTTTAATTTACAAAGTCAATAAAATACACAATCCTAGTGATAGTGACAACTGCTCAATTTCTCACACTTAAAACTATTGGTCTTCATTGAAATGAATATGCTTTTAATTTACTTTAGGTTTTGTTGCTTTTTATCCCAACGTAAATAGGTCTTGGAATACATTGATTTCCTGACGTCTTAGAATAAACACATAATCCCCATCCCCATGGTTTTGGGAGAAATTTGTAACTCATTAGTGCAATATATAGTTAGTAAATAAGTTACTGTTAGCATATACCGACGTTCAAAAGAACAGAATCAGCAAAATGCAGTACTTACATAATCGAGCAACCAGTGCTCCTGTGTCTTTTATTAGTGACCATTTCCTTCCTCCTTGGGGGTTGAAGCACCACCTTAATTGCAGTATCAAAAACAGCTTTGACATTCTGACACAAATCAGAACAAGAACTTTATTTTAGATAGAAGAATTGATCAATATTTTACATATTTCTTTAACAATAATCACAAACATAAAAAAAAGTCTGAAAACAGGCTAAAAATTAATGATATCAAGCATTCTCAAAATTCTTCTCTGAGTAACCAACCTGTTGAGTCTTAGAGCTGCACTCTATATACGCTGCTGCACCAATTTGTTTTCTCAGCTCCTCCCCCTATAATTTTAAGTTCAGTTAAGCTACTTTTAGTAGCATGAATTTGGTGGCTTTCAAAAACTCAGATTTATATGATTACGTACTTGAGCAGATGTTATGATATTGGATCCCATATGATCAGCTTGATATCCTCTGTTTTCACGAAGATCTGAGATTGAAGAAAGACATGGTTCAATCTAATGCAATTACCAAATCTCCATGCCTCCTCCACCAGCCCGTATACAAAAAGATGCAAATTCAAATCGCAAATATCATTTTGTTGCATACCTAACTTTGTTCCAACAAGTACAACTGGAACATTGGGTGCAAATCGACGAAGTTCTGGCATCCACTGAACAACAAAATTCCGAAACAACAGAACTCTAATTAACTATTATGATAAATTAAGAAAACCCCAAAGTAAAAAATCAACTGATATATGAAAAAGTGCAAAGGAATTTGTAGACTTTGATTTGAATCAAAAGGATCCACTTTTTCTTTTTAAGCATGATGGAAAATTGTAATAGGAAAAGTAATTGAAAAAGAGAAAGTTAGAACATAATAAAGTCGAGGAAAAGACAGTAGCACTGAGACCAGTACCTTCTTGAGGACATTTTCATAGCTTGCCCTACTGATTAAAGAGAAAGCTAAGACAAAAATGTCTGCACCTCTATAACTCAGTGGCCTCAACCTGCTATAATCTTCCTGACCTTTAAATCAAGATATAAAAGCAATTAGGAAGAAGCAGGAACAGAGCAAAAAACATTAACTGCAAACCTAAAAACCAAAATGCTGAAGAACTTATTAAATGGTGGAAAATGATACCTGCAGTGTCCCACAGTCCCAAGTTGACAATATTTCCATCCACAGCCACATTAGCACTGAAATTGTCAAACACTGTTGGAATGTAATCCTGCAACAAAATGCCCAAAATGAGAGAGAGAGAGAGAGAGAGAGGAATCCATTATCAGGTTCCCTAGAAAGCTCCAGAGAAGAGTGTGACAATAAAATGCATACAACAAAAAATTGAAAGCATACTCAACATCCTTAACTAACAACACATCCAGAAATTGGGAAAATCACAAGGTGGAAAAATAACAAGGAAAAATCGTACCCAACTACTTATTCCTTCTTGATTAGATTAGGTGAAAAACATGATAGAAAGAAATTTCAAGAAAAAACCATGTCAGATATAGCACGAAAAATCCATAAAAAAGAATTACAAGATAAACCCACAACAGAACTAGCATGAAAAATTCATAATCTGAAAAAGAACAAACTAATAGATGAAAAGGAATGGCTTTTAATGATATGGGTTTCGGAGGGACTTACAGTGGGAAACTTGTTACTAGTGTAACAAATGAGCATACAGGTCTTCCCAACAGCTCCATCTCCAACTGTAACACATTTGATGAACCTTGAAGCACTCATCTTCTCCAAATTTTCAGCTTCTACAGTATGGTCTTTAGCTACAGCACTTCTATGTTAAAGTCTACAAAGTTTTGAGTTAAAGTAAAAAGTGGCTTCAAAGAAAAAGTAGAAGAGAAGAAAGGGGAAAACGAAGAAGAAGAAAAGCAGAGAATCTGAAGAAACGGTGAAGAGACAGAAAGAAAGAGTTAGGTACAGGGAAAGGCTACGGTATACAGATACACATAGAGTTTCACGAAAACCACTACAGAGAGGGTCTCACTTGTTCATCCCTCTCAACAAAATTCAAATCCAACAGAAAAATTTTCAAAAGTTAATCTGACCCTACTGTTCTCAAACGGCTCCAAGCCATCATAGCTGGGATCCACGATCTATGTAAGTAATAACACATTATTTATTTGTTTGGTCGAATGCCGTTGAGGAATCTAAGATTTGTCATAGTACCATTTGTCTTTTTTTGCTCTTTAGAAATTATAATTGACGGAAAATATTTTTAAATTAGAAATTATAATTAATGGAAAATATTTTTAAATTGTAATGTCCAAAATTTATTGTTTAAGTAAGGTATGTTAGAATTTGACTCAAATTTTCTAATTGTGATGAATGAGATTTTATTGAATAATAAATATAAGATTCCTAATAAACCACGTATATATTTGTTAGTGACCTAATCAAATAAGAAATAAATTTAAAGAGTTTTAATATATCATAAGTATATTAGATATATAATAAGAAATATAAAAAACAAGTTGTACCTGAATAGGTTTGACTTACAGAATTTTATCCCTATAAATAGAGTTAAGTATTATATACTCAGTTAACAAATGATTAATTTTTTAATAAATAATATATCGATGTAAATTCTTAATTCGTGGATGTAGGTACGGCATATCATCGAACCACTTCGTGTCATATTTTTATTGTTTTTTTATGTCTATTATTTTCTTATATTTGAATTACAATCTTTCAATAAGTATTATTTGTATTAATTATCTGTCGTACAAAACCAACAAAATATAAAACACTTAAAACAAAATCGATTGATGTTATCACTGTTTTTTTGGGTAAACATAGGCAAAATATATCATACAGTATTACACACTGCATAGTCTTAGGTAAGATACACCCATAGCACCCGCATTAAGCTGCATTATTATACAGACAAAAGGTTCTCAAATAGAATGAGTGTTTCAACAGAGCTAGCACCCCTCTTAACGAGAGATTATCAGCACAAAAGTTAGTTTCTCGAACCTCTTGCTTGATCACTACTTCTTGTAGTCTCTCCATAAATCACCTGCAATCTTTGAGGATTGAACTGAACCTACTCAATTATGATTCGAATTCAACGTATCTGACTCATATTTTATTATTTGTATGTCAATATCAAATCGAGTAAATGAGGAAGCATGTTATTTATATTTAATATTATTTTTATTATTTTAAGAGTTAGAGGTATTTAAATTATTTTACGCGTACTTCGATTAATTTCTAATTAAATAAAAAATAGGCTGACCATCCACTCAAGGACTGATGACCTGACCCCTACTTTTACCAAACTTAATTACTCTAATTTACTATCATTTTTTTAGGAAAATTGATTTACTACCTTTTTACTTCCTCAACGGTACTTTTTGTTGTTTAACATAGAACTCCATGCATTGTTACATTGGGCAGTGGAAGTAGCGAAGCCAACAGCAAGAAAAGGACACCAAACAACAATTTTTAATCTTATACCTTGTGGGTAAAATTGTTTATTTAGGTTGGAGCTTGTTTGGTAGTGCTTTAAATTTTAATACAATGCTATTAAAACATGACATAAATTCAGGAGAAATGTTATGTTACCCAACTTATTGTTCAAAAAATTCATTCTAAATGCATATTCTATGAAAAAATTGATTTATTGGAGAGTCCACAGAGTGGTGTGTGAATATGTCAATTCATTTGGATTGAGTTTTTTTTTATACAAGTTGGGTAGTAGAAAATTTTTGTAAACCCAATTGGAATTGATTATCTACAAAATAGAATGAGTTAAACCAATATTAACATGATACATTTTACACACAGTATAAACCTGATATGACACACATTGTTATACGTACGTGAATTTAGATAAAACTTTGAGAAAATTAGACATTTATGCTTCTAGGCAAGCAAAAATCTCTAGTTCTACATATAGACGTCGAAATTAGGTCTCCATATTAAATATTGTTGCTCTAAAATTTGTTGGGATTGACAAATATATTTCAATCGATAGACAGTTCTTAACAAATTGTTTGTAAATAGTTTAAATGCCTTATTTTAAGATCTTCTTGGATGAGAAATAATGAACAAATACATAGTATAGAAAACTAATAAAAGAGGATTTATTTATTAATTCAATCGAAAGGACGTTAGTTATAGAAAGCCTAAATAAACAACATTAATTGCAGAAATAACTATCTCCTAAAACTAATCTAAAAACTACTCCTAATAATGCCCAAATCGTAGGTCTTCGGGGGTTTGAGTGTATCTTATCTTCTTTACTAAATGTCCTTTTTATAGCCGACGACGATTAATATAAACTTGATACATTGAATATTCTTGAAATTTGATATTTTATGTCCAAACAAATACAAATAGCATTTTCGTTGAGATGAAATACTTTTATGAGCGTGGAATGATTTGCTTGGATACTTTTAAAGGTTGAACACTTCTTAAACATATATATTATAATTAATGATACAACTAAGCAAACAACTTTTGTTAATTAGATCTAGATTTATCTCTGCAGCAATAGTAATTAATAACTGACCACTTCAAATTTTAGTTGGTCAAACAAACAGACAACAAAGCAGCTTACAAGCAAGCTAGCAAGTGCAGAATTTCACATCATCAAATCAAATTTTTAATTTTGTGTAGTATTACTCTTTTTATTATGCATTGTCCGATTCTCCATCATGGGTTAGGATGTCTAAATCGGATTGGTGAGACTTCAATGGTCGATACATACACCTAATTTGCCGGTGATTATGTGCATATCGAGTTCATATAGCGGTCATGGGCGTACAATTTTCGGCCACAAAAAACTCCAATTAATACAACAAAAGAACTCAAATTAATACAATTTGTATGGTAAGAAGCAACTGTAGAGCATTAGGACGTATTGAATGGACCGGCCTGCCATTAGATCAGCATAATTATTAGGTTCATGCAAGTGTGCATGATCATGCCAACATATGGTGATACCAGAAAGAAGATGAATGAGTTGGTTTCAAATATTATTGTCTCCAAGGGTCTCAAATTAAATTATTTAATAATAGGAGGGGCCCAAAATAATTTATTTTAGTTAGTTTTAGGATATTTATGAATCTATTTTCACATATGTTTAAAGATCAATCTAAGATTCGAATTATCTTTCAAAATTAACCAAAGTTATTCTAATTAATTTTTTTTCTTTTTACGAATTCGTGTATACAATTGGATTAGGGAACACCACTACCATCCAATTATTGTGATTCTTCATGCCAATCAATAAGGAAAGCCCGGTTAGAACAATATTATTGTTTATTATTTTCAGAAATTTCAAGAGCCAATCGTATGTAGTTTAAGGATATTCAAAGCTAATAATAATATAATAAGGTGAGTTTTTCAATCGTTAGGAGGGATGATCCCTTGCCTAACTAAGATATCTTTTGATATCGGGAGAATCGTCTCAATTAAGTAATTTTTACGTTTGTTATTGAAATACAAATTATAGATGCACACAATCATTTGCAAAATCACACGTCTCGGGGCAACTAGGGTTCGATTGGAAGGTAAAACACATTCAATTTTCAGATATTCTAAACAGTCTTTTATGGTCATAACTAGCTACCGATAGAAGGTTACCAATGAGTCTTTGGTCCAATAGTACTTCTTGTTTTATAAAGGCTTTACATTTTTGAGGTTAAGGGTTCAAGTACCCCTCCCCTTTCCCCCCAAAAAAAAATAAAAAATAGAAGGTTAATTGATTTTGTCTGGTGGAAAACAATAAATTCATTGTGTACCAAATGCCCCAATGGACCGGGCCGGTTCAACATTCAAGGGTGTCAGCATGGGCCAGGGCTAGTCACTGACGGGCCATTTTACTCGGGCTAAGACGGGCTATTGGTAAAATTTAGGCCCAATCCAGAAGCCAAGCCAAGCAGAATCAGCCCATGACACTCTGGGTCACGGGCTTTACGGGACCAATGCCAACACTGATGTTTCTACATACAGAAAGAACAAAATAGATCTACTCAAGGGGCATGGACATGACCTCGTGTCAACACGGTTAAATGGTTACGGGTCAAGTTTTATCTGCTTTGTATAAAAAATCAGTAAGTTCGTATACGATTCTTTTAAATAAATGGATAAAATGTTTTAAATTGACCACAACTCGTTTATTAAGCGAGTAATATGACATGACTCGTTTAATAAACAAATCGAGTTAGGTATAGTCGAGTTAACACGATAATTCTTTTAACTCGTTATCCGTTTGATCGGTGTACTTGAACATCCTCTAAAACATTATTATTAAACTGATCTAATAAATAACTACGTATATTATTTTGGCTAGATTTTTTTTGAATAATTATTTATTTATTATTATATTAATTTTATTTAAACGGGTGATAAATGAGTTAACATACTTCACCTGAACACAACTTGTTTAGTAAACCGATCTGACTAGTCTACCCGTTTGTCACCCAATCCGATAAAGTCTTAGCCAAACGCACTTGTAGCATCGTGTCAAATTTTGACAAGCTTAATTATCTCTCAAACTATTTTTTCTTAACGTTACTATAAACAATAATTTCTACGTCCAATAAACGAGTTATCTAATTTATTTATAATCACATATATAGATAAATTATGCGATATCAAGTTTTGTGTCATTAAGATGTATATAAAATATTTATGTTGCTTTCGGTTAGATTGGTGTTGATTTATTTAGTAAAAATTTACCCGATCACCATTCAAACTCATTAAAATGAGTTTTATTGTGGTACCAAAATTCAATTTTTTTTTATTATTCAAATTAACCGTTGTACTTTTGTAGTATTATAGCCTTATCGCACTAAAATTAAATTCTTTTTTTTTTTTAGCTCATCACTAAAATTAAATTCAAACTCAACATCTCAATTCGCGAGTTAGGTTGACAAGTCTAGGTTGAAGTTTTGTAATTGGGCCGGGTTAAGAACATCTGAGTAGGTGATTACTCTTCCATCAATGAGATCCACGTCATTTTCTACCTTCAACAAACTGTCGAGTTTCTCGTATTGTCCCATCGATTATTTCAATTGATTTCACACTATCCAAAAAATTAAACATTTTTCATGTTTTGGCCA